GGGCGAAAGCCAACGACCCTCCGCTAAGTTTGCTTTAAGATCGGTGTGATTTAAGAGTCGATTATAGAGCTATAAGAGCCCTTGCCTAATGAGAATGTGTGGTATAAGGGTTGTTAGGATAAGCCTAGGGTGTGACGCAGAGTGGTGATAGGCCGCCGTGGTTATCGAGTCCAGATGGGCCGGTTAGCTTGGGTCATATGCTTCCAGGCAGATTCGGAAATGTAAAGACCCTATAATTGCGTAAAAAAAAAAAAATCGAACGACAATAGGGCTGTCTTCAATTTTTTTTTTTTTTTTAGAAGTAATTTTCACAATAAATAGTGTTGATAATAGTGTTATTAATGGTGTTTCTCACTGTAGAAGAAACAAAGAAAATGATTTATCCAACCCTAATCAGTCAGAGAATATCACAAAAATAGCAGAGTGCAGAGATCGAGAGAGAGAAAAAAAGAGATTTTTTTTAGGGCTATTAAAAGAGACTAAAGATATGGTAAGCCTAGCTATTACTTATCAAACGTCAGAAATCATGTTTCGCACTCGAGCCATATTCAGCAAAACTCCACATTTTCGCATTTTTTAGGCCTCCCTTATATTGTATTGTCAGATAAGGAACCAGTCTCTTGAAATCTGTCGTCTTTAAAAATTTTTTTTTTTAGTTTACGCAAAATCAATTATCAGCTGAAAGGTTATTTTTTTTATTTATATATTATTTTTTTGTATCTTTTCTTTAATGACAAGATGTATGGCAGTTTGTGTGTGTGAATAGAGCTTTTAGTGAATTTTGTTTTTTTTATTTGAATTTTCTGGCATATACTCACTTCTGTTAACAAGATATTGTAGCAGAAGTAAAGTTTTAGTCATAACATTGAATGTTTGACAGCTGTATGAATCAATGTTAATATTTTTTTATGGTAATGTTTTGATAAACAAAATCATAAAATTTTTAATGATATTTGATGAGACCAGAACATGCCATTATTTTCATTTCCATGATATATTTGTTTTGATTGTAGAGAGAGATATATGTTGTAGGAACTTTGTAATATATATGGATTAAAAGAGTGATAATATTTTTTCATATTTTATTATTTTTTTTTTGTAAGATAATTTCAGAACATAATTTTCATCATTACCTTTTTATATATATTCAATAATTTCAAGTTTACAAGGATTATCGTATTTACAAAAAGTGTTTGCTTACCATATAATGTTTATAAGATGATATTGTCTTTTATTGTATTTTCTGTCCAGTCTCAAAATTTTTAGCAGAGTCATTCGTCTGGCTGCTTGTTACATATATGTATGCACAGTATATGCAGTATTTCTTTACATATTTTTAGCAAGAGAATCGAGACTTCTTAGCAGAAATAAAAGATGATTAGATAGCATAAAGTGTGATTTTACTTGTTTATTTTAGGTTGGCTGTAAGGCTGTCAGAGATTTTTTTTCTTGTTCTTTGCGCTCGGAGAAATCAGTCCTATGCATTGTACTTCGGGAATTTTAACTGGATTGGAAAAAAGCCTAATTAAAAATGTGATTTTCTCAAAAAGCATGATGAACACAAATTCATAGACATACACAAATACACATACACACATACTCATATAGTCATACACTTGTATATTGTGACCCATCAGACAGAACGTCCAGAGATACTCCCATTCTGTGACATGGCAATATCAGCCAAGTGATATTGACTACTTGGTAACTTTACCTCTTTCCCGTACATCCATGCTGGGTGAGATAGTTAGGGCAGTGTGTTAAAAGCCATGATTGACTGACATGTGAGTGACAGGAATGTTCTAGTATTTTTTTCAAATCTGGACACTCCTTGCCCAACACTCCTTGTGAAGTCCGGACTATAAATATGACTTAATGCGAGAGTATTGGAAGGTTTCTCCTTTGGGTTATACACATGAAAATGCATGGCAAACCATTGTTAATCCTCACAGGGTAAGTACCTTCTTGCAGTAGGGCACACAGGCTTCCCGAGTTGATTGGCATGCATCATCTCCTGTTTTGGAAAGTAGAAACAAATCCCACCCTTACTGGAAGACAGTTAATGGGGGAATTTCCCTTGCTACAGAGAGATGCCTCATTATTGTTTTTATTTTCATTTTTATTGGCATTATTATGGGGGATAATGAAAGGCATATGAGAAAACATTTTTTAATGTCAATGATTTTTTATCCACTCAAAAATAATTGCTGGGAAAGGAGTTTAGAAATTAAAGATTTAAGCACTTTCTCGTTCCTCCAAATGCTAGGTTGCCTGCAGTCAAAATGTCTTCCACCATGAACGGTGTCGAAAGCGACGACGAAACTCCCCAGGTGTCAATCACAAGTGAGAGCGACGATGACGTGCCTCAGCTGTCGGCAGGGACGATGGCAGCCCTGATGGAATTCTTCAAGGAGGAGGAGGAGAGGAAGGATAAGCTACGGCAGATTGAGGAGGGAGAGATTCCGGACACCTTTGAGGAGGACTGGGTAAGAGGGGGGGTAGGGGTGGAGCAGGACAGATGTTTATGTGTTGTGTTAAGTTGTATTATTGTTGTGTTATATTGATTTTAATAATATACTTAGAGGCCAAGATTCATGTTATCACTGTCTTTCTCATTTTGACACAAGGGATGTCTAGGGTGTTTTATTTTTATTCATTCATTTATCTGTTTATATGTTTGTTTTTACCAATTTTCTGATTAATTTATACAAGGAATATTGTTTTGTTTTTTTTCTTCACAGCATTTGTCTTGCATTTGCCCAGTAACATAAAACTTCCTTACCTCTTTTTTTGATTTTCTATATAACTTTTTCTATTATTTCTTTCTTTCATTATTTATTAGTCTTTATTTCACATTTTATTTTTATTGCAGGGACTACTTCATATATATCCTTCAGGTACACTGTCTATGGTAATCCATTGAAAAGTCATGTTTTTGTGGAGAAATATGGACAGATTTTGTAAAGACTTCAGTACACTCAGTTGAATAAATTGATGTTTGAGTATGTGTGTCCTACATCCACATATTTTCATATTTTTAGAATAGGATTGTCTTAGACAGTGCTCCAGTTCTGCTAAACTCAGTTCACCTTTTTCATCTAATTGCTTGTTTTCAAACTTGCAGAATAAAGAAAATAGTCTTTAAAGTTGTGACAACTGTTCACCAGGGGATAGGATCGGAAAAAGTTGCCGCACACTTTAGCACCGGGAAAACACATTAAATCTTGTCTTCCAGAACATGAGTCAGTTTTGGTATGCAGAAGAAACCTCAAATTGCCTGGCCCAAGAATGCCTAAGATTGGCAGGGAACAACGGGACCATCGCTTGTGTGTCTTCGCCAACCCTTTACAGAACATTAAGGGGAATGGACCATAACTGCAAGTGTGAGTTTTGTCTCTTAGGCGTTTGCCAGATGTAACTGGTTGGTCATTTTCTTTTTGAATATTTGTCATTATGTAGGGTATTATTTCTTAAGGTAATTTTCATTGTTTCGTGAACTGTTTTTGCTGTTCTCTCTCTTTTTTCTTCTCCCTCTCCCTCTCCCTCTCCCTCTCCCTCTCCCTCTCCCTCTCCCTCTCCCTCTCCCTCTCCCTCTCCCTCTCCCTCTCCCTCTCCCTCTCCCTCTCCCTCTCCCTCTCCCTCTCCCTCTCCCTCTCCCTCTCCCTCTCCCTCTCCCTCTCCCTCTCCCTCTCCCTCTCCCTCTATAGCTTTCCACCCCTCCTTCTCTTTTCCTTCCCCCTCTCTCACTTTTCCTTTCCTTTCCTTTCCCCCCTCTCTCACTTTTCCTTTCCTATCCTTTCCCCCCTCTCTCACTTTTCCTTTCCTTTCCTTTCCCCCTCTCTCACTTTTCCTTTCCTTTCCTTTCCCCCTCTCTCACTTTTCCTTTCCTTTCCTTTCCCCTCTCTCTCACTTTTCCTTTCCTTTCCTTTCCCCTCTCTCTCACTTTTCCTTTCCTTTCCTTTCCCCTCTCTCTCACTTTTCCTTTCCTTTGCTTTCCCCCCTCTCTCACTTTTCCTTTCCTTTAAATGGAATCAGACAGTAACTGTAGTGTTTATAAACTGTAATCATCATCATACAAAAATTCTATGGCTTCATCTTGAACTAACCATTTCTACCTCTGGATCGTGTTCCAGTGCGAGTACTAGAATATGACACAAGATTTGCCGTCTATAAGGAAGACTTTGTCCTCTATGACTTCAAGAATCCCCTTGCTGTGCCGAGAGACCTAAGGCAAGAGTTTGATGTAGTGGTGGCAGACCCCCCATACCTGGACGAAGATTGCCTCGCCAAGACAGCAATCACCATCAAGTACCTGATGAAGACGGACGCGAAGTTGATCTTGTGTACGGGCTCAGTGTTGGAAGAACTTGCGGACCGCTTGCTAGGGGTTAAAAAGTGCAAGTTTGAAATTAAGCATGATAAACAGCTGAGCAACCCCTTTTCTTGCTATGCTAATTATGACTTGGATAGTTTTTGTGAAAGTTGATAATGAGCTTATTATATTATATCTGTTATTAACAAATTATCCACTGAAGAATTAAGCTTGCAGGAAGCGGAGATCGTCTGTGCTAAAAAGTCTTGTTTCGGCAAGCAGTGGCGTTGTGGTGTGTCCCGTGCTTGTGTCAGACAATAAAAGTGATAAAAAATATAGATAATAATTGTTGTGATATGCATTTTTTTTCAAATATGATAGATATCAAACCATAATATAAAAAAGTGGTTCCACTTTGCTATGTAACAATTCCATTGATATGTAGTATGTGTCATTTTAAAGATGCCTTACGTATTATAGGACCTCAAAGCCTCTATGACAATAAGTGTCTATAGTTAACTGCAGTTACTTTTCCACATTTTAAGCCTTTTTATATTTTGTATATAATTTTTCATTCTGATCATGTTTTTTGAAATGGGAATGCAAGTGTCTATGAGCTGTATAATGAAGGTATAAAAGAAGATGGGCAAAAAAACTAACTGCATGCAGTTAGGCTTAAAGTCCACTAATCTTGCCTGATGTTAGCTAAACAGAGATTGTACAAGATGGTATAAGTCTGATGATGTTGCCTTTAATTACCATGTTATAGATATCTGTTTAGATATGTAAGATTATATGACCTTTACATACTCGTTACTGAGTAACTTCAGTAATTTCCTTGGTTCTCATATGTTGAGAAATATCAAGAAATGTTATCACTGTTCACACTTTTATGAACATTGACTGTATGAGATGTGTTAGCTGTTATGCATACTGTGTAACAGGCAGCTAAGCTGTATTTTTTGCGAATTATTATTATTTTAATTATATTTGTTATCATTATCACTATTTCTCTTTAGTCCTGTCGATTACACCTGAGAAACTTAACAATGCCCACTGTCTGTACTAGTGCAGATAAACAGACAAAATACTCTGTGTGCTCATGTGTACATTCTAGTCAGGTGCCTCAAATATAATATTATCTTTCACTTATCCTTTTAAATGTTTTCAAGCTCCATGGATTTCTCAGCAGTGTAAACATCATAGATATGTTGTTTGGTTAGTCCGGAGCATTTGTAATCATACCCATTTTTATAGGACTGCCTGGGGAAGCGAGGTACGGTGTTGGACAAAAAAGTGATTTGGTATTATTTTCCTTTTCTCTCCTCTGTTCTTCCTATCTGAAATTCTTTCTTTGCTATTTTTTCTTCTCCATTCTTTCTCTAATGCTGTCAGTCTTTTTAGATCTATTTGGTGGCTGAAATTGCTATTAATACTTCAAGGGATTGATCAATAGTGCTAGTTTTATTTCTGTTGGAGGAATGACTTACATGGTAACACCTTATATGAATATATATAATAGCTGGTAAAATCTGGAATTTTGCAATGATCTTTATTTTCTAAACTTAGTAGTGACTCACCAATGATTTCAACACCTTGACAAAGATGCATTGTTGAACATGTTGCACCACCTATGTTTGAGTCATTATCAAGACATCAGAGGTGATTTAGTACTATGGTAAAGTATTGTCAAAAAGGGTAGAAAGGAGTTTGAAATAAATACTATTTACGGTTTAATTGTGAGGGTACTAGCATGTGGTAAAACACTTATGATTGCGGTATTGTGATAAATTAAGAGTAGACTTTTGTCTTCTTTTTTTTTCCCTAGTATAATCATGTATTGAATCTCACAGTGATATGCTGTTCTAATGGCATTATCTTGTATTCCAGCAATTAAGATATCAGATAAGTGAATACCTTATTACACTGAAATTGTACTGAAGAGGACTCTCCATGTCAGCCAGTCACTTATTCCTTTCTTACTTTTTTATGGAACCAAACTAAAATATTGTATGGATATGCAGTTCAGGAAACCTCATTTGTTATTATACATGTAATATGTAACCTTTGTCAAATGTGATGAAATGTGAGTTATGTAAAGATTCCCAGTTTTCCATTTATCTTTCATGCTCTGTAGTGGTGTCTCCCAAACCTTCTGAATCTCGATGATGTCTATAAACACTGGTTCTGTTTAGGGTCTAAATTATCACCATTATTCAGTTATTCAAATTTAGTTTGTATATACCAATAATCCATGTCATAATATTGCAGTTCCTATAGTTTGTGAAATCATTTATTCATATTAGTACTTTTACTTTTGCCTTCCCAAATTTTGGGGGGAACTAGAGTTTGAGAAGCATTATGCTGTACTGTGAATGCTCAAAACCACTTGTCTGGTGATTCTTCCCCCCCCCCCCCCCCTTAACAATGCCCACTGTCTGTACTAGTGCAGATAAACAGACAAAATACTCTGTGTGCTCATGTGTACATTCTAGTCAGGTGCCTCAAATATAATATTATCTTTCACTTATCCTTTTAAATGTTTTCAAGCTCCATGGATTTCTCAGCAGTGTAAACATCATAGATATGTTGTTTGGTTAGTCCGGAGCATTTGTAATCATACCCATTTTTATAGGACTGCCTGGGGAAGCGAGGTACGGTGTTGGACAAAAAAGTGATTTGGTATTATTTTCCTTTTCTCTCCTCTGTTCTTCCTATCTGAAATTCTTTCTTTGCTATTTTTTCTTCTCCATTCTTTCTCTAATGCTGTCAGTCTTTTTAGATCTATTTGGTGGCTGAAATTGCTATTAATACTTCAAGGGATTGATCAATAGTGCTAGTTTTATTTCTGTTGGAGGAATGACTTACATGGTAACACCTTATATGAATATATATAATAGCTGGTAAAATCTGGAATTTTGCAATGATCTTTATTTTCTAAACTTAGTAGTGACTCACCAATGATTTCAACACCTTGACAAAGATGCATTGTTGAACATGTTGCACCACCTATGTTTGAGTCATTATCAAGACATCAGAGGTGATTTAGTACTATGGTAAAGTATTGTCAAAAAGGGTAGAAAGGAGTTTGAAATAAATACTATTTACGGTTTAATTGTGAGGGTACTAGCATGTGGTAAAACACTTATGATTGCGGTATTGTGATGAATTAAGAGTAGACTTTTGTCTTCTTTTTTTTTCCCTAGTATAATCATGTATTGAATCTCAAACAGTGATATGCTGTTCTAATGGCATTATCTTGTATTCCAGCAATTAAGATATCAGATAAGTGAATACCTTATTACACTGAAATTGTACTGAAGAGGACTCTCCATGTCAGCCAGTCACTTATTCCTTTCTTACTTTTTTATGGAACCAAACTAAAATATTGTATGGATATGCAGTTCAGGAAACCTCATTTGTTATTATACATGTAATATGTAACCTTTGTCAAATGTGATGAAATGTGAGTTATGTAAAGATTCCCAGTTTTCCATTTATCTTTCATGCTCTGTAGTGGTGTCTCCCAAACCTTCTGAATCTCGATGATGTCTATAAACACTGGTTCTGTTTAGGGTCTAAATTATCACCATTATTCAGTTATTCAAATTTAGTTTGTATATACCAATAATCCATGTCATAATATTGCAGTTCCTATAGTTTGTGAAATCATTTATTCATATTAGTACTTTTACTTTTGCCTTCCCAAATTTTTGGGGGAACTAGAGTTTGAGAAGCATTATGCTGTACTGTGAATGCTCAAAACCACTTGTCTGGTGATTCTTCCCCCCCCCCCCCCCCCCATGAAAATGGGTAAAGCATGTAGGCCTAATGTAGGTATCCACTGGTGGTATAAGTGGATTGGAGAAACACTCTTGTAAATTGCCCAGTCAATTTTGTTATTCAGTGCATGTGATTTATTTTTTTCTCTGAGTTGTGAATTAATTTATTTTATAATTTATTAATAATTTAGTCAATTTGTTTTGTGGGAGATTTCAGGAGAATGGGATTTTATTCCACATGTAAACAAGAATGAATATTAATCAACAAGAAGCTTTAACCAAAAAAGAAACAAAACAGAACAAGGATGCCTTTTTCTTAAAATCAAAACTATTGTGTAGGCTCAGGAGGACATAAGTAGTCCTTATTAAAGTGAGAACAATAATAGTAATAATAAGGCATTATGTAATGTGTTTGTATACACCTTTTAAAGAACATTTGTATTTCATACTTCTCCGACCTGATCTTTGGATCGCTGAATGTGTAAGCAAATAATACAAGTTAATAATTTCTTGGTCCTTTAAGAAATGGACCACATCTATTCCCTCTTTATGAAGTGCAGATTTTTGGAAGGCACCAGTCTAAATGTATAAACCAAAGGCAATGAGGTTTCACACAAATATGCTGGTACCAATAATGCTTTTCCCTTTCTCTTCCATTCTTTTTTTTCATTTATTGGACTTGTCTTGATTACTCAGAAAGTATTGTTTCAGTAATTCCTGTATAATACTTAATTACCATTAGTTACATTGCTAAGCATTCAAGGATGCAGATTACAGATGTCCTTTCCTGTGCTATTTCCATATGTTTAGAAGAAATTTCATTTTCAAGTTTTAGTTAGCATTTGCAGTTCAAGTTTAGATTTGTATATGAATTGGTTGAACATTAATCTGCCAGGGAGTTTTGCCTACCTAGGACTGTGCACACATTTTAAAAATGGCCTTTAGAAAACGACATTAGTGAGAGGTTCACAACTCCCAGACTGTGTAGGACCATTTCCAAAATTATAATTGCAAAGTACATCTCATTTTCATATCTTTATTAGATTGGTTTCTCAACTGATGTAGGAGAGAGAATTTCCTTACATGTTTTGAATATGGGAAGATAACTTTATTATGATCAGAAGAAAATGCTCTGCTTACCCCATCTGTAATAGTAATATACCAATTAGACTGTAGAAATCATAATAAACTTGCTATAGCATTTTTAATTAATTCAAACAGAGTAACCTAATTCTAAGTTATCAACTTTTTTTTCAAATTCTTTGAAAGCAAACCAATTTAGAGACCTGTATAAACTATGTATCAGCAGGAGACCATAGGTGTAATAAACTAAAAAGAAAAAAAAAGGGAAGCTTGACAAGGATTACTGAAGAATGGCATTGAATGATTGAGGAGTTTTGGATGATGCCACTTTTGCTCCTTTCTTCTGCTTGGAAAAGTAGGAGGAATGAGATGAGGGATCAATGGGAAGTGTCCCCCCCATCCCTTGCTGCTTCTTGTGGGGAGGCGTAGGAGACAGACTGAGGCCCAATGTAGGGGAACACCACTGCCTTGTACCTCAGCCCTCAAGTTCTGCATGGTCTTTTCTTCTCCCCCTTTCCTTTTCCTTCTCTTCATCCCCTTCTGTCCACTTATCCTAATGGTTAATGGTTAGAAGAAATAAATGTGCTAGACATCAAGAGTCATATAGCACTATGGTAAAGTATTGTGGCAAGAAAGGTGGAAATGAGTTAACAATTAGGATACGACGAGTTAGATAGGAAAGACTGTAGAAAGCTGTAGGAGAGTATGGTAGTGAAAAGGGTATAGAGGGAGAGCAAATGGAATATGGTGGGGATTTGTAAAAGTTGATGGGGTTAAAGATATAGGGTGATCAGATCAAATGGAGAGAGTGTGTCTGATGAAG